CAAAAACTTATGCATTCCTGTACCGTTTCAATGGAGTTTTTAAGGGCTTCGGCCATTTATTCCAAATATACTGACTGATAATGACATTGACTCGTTCTGTACTAGAACTTCACATAGGTTTTTAAGAATAAATTCTTCATTATTGACTATAAACCTCTAGAGGGGAAGGAGCTTCATGTAGTTTTTATTTCAACAGGCCTATAGTGTGGTCGTTTGACGGTATTACTTAAACCAAGGAACCAAGGCAAATTTGTTATAATTTTCTAGTTCGCTTGACCTTCCCAACCAACCCGAACTGGAAATCAGTGTGGATGTCTTCGCGTAGAGCACAACATGAACTTCAATCCTCATAGGCACGGCATTGAACTCCACCTTCACCTTGATGGAGGCTTCCGACCGGCAACTCTATTTTCACTTGCTCAAAAAAAATCCATAAGGCTCTGTGCTTCAAATGTTCGTGATTTTGAAAAAAGCTTAACTGTGCAGCAGCCGAACAGTCTCGCCGATTTTTTGTCGAAATTCGATGTAATCAATCCCCCGGTTCAGGGAGATGCTGTAAGTACTTACACACGTGTGTAATTCGGTTCTTGAGATACTGTTGCTAAGTGTTTTTAACATTTTATTCCAGAATAGGATCCAATTCGAAATAAACTATAAACGAGGTATATTGAATATATCGTGAGAACTAATTTGGCGCTGCCTATTGATAGTTGTTATATTATATTAGGTTACTTATATTAATTTAACGACTAACAACGTGTTCCCTGACTGACTTTACGAGCACGCAAAGTCAAGTGGTACAAAATAAGTAAGCATCAAAGTATACAAAAGTTTAGGATAGGAGCTCCGTAGAAACTGTCGAGAAATCTGTATGCACCTTCTCAGTAATAAGTTAAGGCGGAGAAATGCCCTCGTACAATATGACCAGTTATACTTTGCACCTGTTTACAATTTGCTATATGGATCTCTGACAAGTATACACGCATTAGTTGTTTGGTCTTTTAACTGTCCTATTAT